TCCTCAAAAAGTCCAGTTGAATTAATAGATAATTTTCTTATTAAATGATTTTATTCTTGGTGGGGCTAAAAAGATTTTCGTCTATTTTAAAAGAACAAGCTCTCGGGGCACCTGGGTGGTTCAGTGGGTTAAGGCCTCTGCCTTCGGCTCAGGTCATGATGCTGGGATCAAGCCCCGCATTGGGCTCTCTGCTCATCGGGGAGCCTGCTTCCTCCTCTCTCTGCCTACCTCTGCCTGTTTGTGATTTCTGTCTGTCAAAAAATAATAATAAATAAGTAAATAAATAAATAAAAGAATGAGCTCTCACTCATTCAAAAGTCTTCACTCTCCCAGGGGTCAGGATGATTAGGTCCCTTCTGGGCTTTGATTTCAGTGTCATTTCATTTAGAAGCATCTCAACAGAGATGTTATATACTTACCTTCTGGTTCTTACTCTCATTGAGAGTTAATTATTTAAAGGCAACACAGTCACAGCATCCCATAATTGTGGAATTAACTCAGATTAAAATATACACATTTTGATGTAACTTAGAGCACTTGGGTTTTTTCCAGAAATCTTTTGTCCAAATCCTCCCTCTATCCTTAATGGGCAGCACAATGGGCCTTCTCAGGGAGATGTTCCCTATGGAACGGAAGTAAGTTACATGTGTGACCACCACCCAGCCGGAGGGATGACCTTCAACATTGTTGGGAAGAGCACCCTCCGCTGCACAAGTGACGATGAAGGGAACGGGATTTGGAGCGGCCCTGCCCCTCGCTGCAAACTTGCTGGTCCTGCAGGTTAGTACCCAGGTACCTCGAATGGATTCAGAACATCTGACCAAGACCCTTGACAGTTCCATAAGATATGGTGTTTGCTTGTGGGTTCAACATTGTCATAAGTGAAAGGGTCAGAGTTGCATGCATAGCTAAAACAGATGACTCCAAGCTGTGTTTGAAGAGTAAGATGTGAATAACTCTTCTTGCTGGTGTAGTGGTGACCCAGTGGGGTAAGAGGAGAGAAATAAGGGTGAGGGGAAGGCAGTAAGCACCGTGTATAAATCAAGAAGAAATATATATTCTTTGGAGAGGACATGAGAATAACTGGCTGTGAACACTAACCAATGCCAGGATAACTGATACACACTCCCCGCAGGTTCAGGGGCATGCAAAGAATCAAACTGGCAATATGGAGAGTATTTAGCTAAGGCTTTAGCTAGTCCTATGCTGAACAGGCTAAGTAACCAAAAAGACGCGTCCTTGGTAGCTTAAGACCCTGACTCAAAGTATGACCATTTGTCAGCTGGCTTCTGAGCCCCGACTTAAACTTTGTCCTTGAACTTTTCCATTGGGATAGTTAGAAGCAAGGAAAATAAGCTCAAGGAAGAGTATGAAAGAGAAAGAGGCTTTTTCTTCCTAAAGACTGGATATTACCTGGTTCTTGAGTCCTGACTGTAGGCCTTCCCAAGATGGAAGTGGGAGTATACTGGGCATATGGCACCAGATGTGGAATACCTCATGAGAGAGAAAAGCATGCCAATGAGAAAAGGCAACGCATGATAAAAGGCATTTAACCCTTCTTTGGTATCCCTCCCCTTCCAGCTGGATGGTTATATCAGAATCCAGGGAGATTTCCTTAAATGAAATTGCCTAGGCCACCAGCCATGCCTATTGAATGGACAAAGAGAAGCAGTCACCTCCAAAAAGGAGATAGTTGAATATAACAGACTCTATTCAAAATATGCAGCAGGAGATCTACCCTCTCATTAAGAAGACATAGCAGCTTAGACAAAGCTGCTCAATGGCTTAGTCTGTTTTGTCCTTGTTCTTAAATATCTGGCTTAGCATCAGAATGAGAAGAGTGGTAAGTAGTTCCCTAGGGCTTTCATACAAATTACCACAAACTAAATGGCTTAAGACAACAGAAATGTCCTCTTTCACAGATCTGGGGCTAGAAGTCTGAAATCAAGGTGTTAGCAGGTCTTCACTCCCTCCCAGAACTCTAGAGGAGAATCCTTCTTTGCTTTTCTCAGCTCCTGGTGGCTCCTGGCATTCCCTGGCTTATAGACCCATCATTCCAATCCCTGTCTCTGTCTTCATGTGGCCTTCTCCCCTGTGTCTCTGTGTCTCAGATGTCCCTCTCCTTCTCTTATAGGCACCAGCCATTACTGGGCTTAGGGCTCACCCTGGTAATCCAGGATGATCTTAACCTTTTTTTTTTTCTTTTTTTCCTTAGAAATTTTATTTTCCCCATCACACTATTGAAAGCTCCTTATAGGGGCGCCTGGGTGGCTCAGTGGGTTAAGCCTCTGCCTTCGGCTCAGGTCATGGTCTCAGGGTCCTGGGATCCAGCCCCGCATCAGGCTCTCTGCTCAGCGGGGAGCCTGCTTCCCCCTCCCTCTCTGCCTGCTGCTCTGTCTGCTTGTGCTCTCTCTCTCTCTCTCTCTGTCAAATAAATAAATAAAATCTTTAAAAAAAAAAAAGAAAGAAAGCTCCTTATAAAACATTAAGCAAAAGCAATCCATGGAAAGAAAAGGAAATATATACAAATATTTATTCCAAAAGCAGTAGCACTGTAAATATCAATCAATTTTAAATAGAATATATCAAGGAAGTAAACAATTTTTAAATACCTTTCAAAAACATAATTTCATTTTGAGAGTGTTACTTTAAATATAGCTGAAAAGACCCTTATTCCATGTAAGTTTCCATGGTGAGGTCCTGGATAGATGTACCTTCTGGGGGAACATTTTTCAACCCCACTACAACTAGTGACTGCTATTTAGAGCCAGAGAGGCTGCTTGTGGTGGGCACCCTGAGAATGAGGTAGGGAGGAATAAATGGAGAGAGAAGGTAAAATATGTGTTGATATACATGAGTATATTAACACCAAGAAATGAGGATATGAATGATTAACCCTACGCACAGGCAGTCTGATAGGCCTGACACATGAAACCATTGGCTAAAATTCTTGCTTTGGTGAAACAAGAGCAGAAAGGCCAGAAAGGTGAATAGTCTTCCTGGTAGTAAAAAACTTTCCTGATGAGTAGATGCTGTTGGAAAGCCCCATGCTAAGGTAACTTGAAGGGGATGAAAACCTTTTGCCATTATTGTAAGTCTTCTTCTCTGAGCCTATCTACCAGCTTCACTGAAAAGAATGAGAAGGTAGGCTGGAAATCACTCTGCTCACTATGGTTTTCCTGTGGTTTTGCTCTCCAGGTTACTGTAAAGCCCCAGAAGCGTTTCCATTTGCCAAGCCTACAGTCCTGACTGATGAGTCTGAGTTTCCAATTGGGACATCTTTGAATTATGAATGTTCCCCTGGGTATTTTGAGACTACGTTTTCAATCACCTGCTTAGAGCACTTGGTCTGGTCGAGTGCCGAAGGTATCTGTAGACGTGAGTAATACCATCCTGGAAGCCAATTCATGTATGTCAAAGCATCTGTGGGATCTAATTTAATTTGTTCAGATTTTGTAGGCAAGATATCAAGGTTTGCCCAAGGCATTTAAATGGAGGGTAGACTTTGTCAGTCAGCCTTTCTTATGGCCTGGAGTCTGTGCCTTGACTCCATGTTCATGTCACAGGAATGTCTCTCACAAAAGGAAGCCCAGGGGAAATTTCCATTCACTGGTGTTGATCTTTGATGGCTAAAACCCAGAAATGAATGAAATAGAGACGCCAAAGAAAATTATGTAGGTCACAGTGAATGGTGCTTGGTTAACCAAGATGGAGGTGAAATCCCAAATTTCGAGGCCTTTGATCCAGGCTGATGGGATAAGAAAACAATTCCTTATCCATCAGTGACTTTTATTGGGAGATTAAGGAGTAGTCTTTTAAAAAGCAGTGCTCTGTAGCTGCTTGATTCTGAGCTTGTATGTGAATTTCCTCAAATGGTCAATTCTATGGAGCAATCAGATATGTATATGCTGTTCGGTATGCTACACTCCGGGCTGAATCTTAAAAACCGAATTGAACTCTACACCTAGCCCCAAATTCTGCTTCTTTCCTTCAGGAAAATCATGTGGAGCTCCACCAGAACCCTTTAATGGCGCGGTGCATATAAACACAGATACCCAGTTTGGATCAACAGTTCATTATTCTTGTAATGAAGGGTGAGTTGAGAGCACTATCCTTAGGATAGAAGTTCCAGAACAACAATACTATCTCTGACCTAGTCTGACAAGACAAACTAGACTATCACCTGCACTTCAGAAAGTTAGCAGTAAGAACTCTGGATAGAGATGGTAGCTTGAGCACTGGGATATGACCAAAGGAAATAAAAAAGATGTAGCAACCTGTATTTGTATGTTAATGAGGGGAGGGCACCAGGGTCCTGCTAAATGTAGTGATGTGGAACCTGGTAAGATATTCACTGGATAAAAAGGACTGGCCTGCTAAATGAGTAAAAAGAGAACTGCTAGCTGAACCTTGCATGCAACATTCTTAACTAAAATCAGCAAGTATATAGCTGAGTTGGAGGACCTTGAAGTTGGGGTTGGAGAGGAAGTCTCAATGTAGTAGCTCTGGGAAATGTATTAATATGCAAACTGAGTGTGAACATTCATGGAGTTCTTGCCTTCAACTCTTCACTGGCACAGGAAACCTTGCTAGAAACCATTGCCTCAACATAGAGGGAGCAACTAAGGAATGTGTACTAACCTCTTGCCACAAAAATTCAGAGAAAAAAATTGAATTTTATTGGATTACAAAAGGAAACATATATGCATTAGACATATTTGGAAGCCATGAATAACTCAAAGATCAAAAAATTCAACATCCAGCATTCTACCACTCATCATAGTTAATATTTTGCTATGAATTCTTCCAGGGTTTTTATCTGATAATTCACATATAATCCAGATGTCTGTTAAACTCAATTGCCTTTAGAAGGGAGAGCTGGTTAAATTGGACACAGGCATTAATGCCATATCTGGAAAGCATTGATTCTGCCCTTATCATTGCCCTCCCGCCCCCAATAAGGGCTTCTGATTTCTCATTTCATCAGTCCTTCAAATGACTGTTGCCCCAGTCAACATCAATGACACTGTCAAGACAGTGAAAAGAGAGCCTACAGAAAGGCAGAGAAAATTTATAAATAATTTCCCTAAGGTTTCATATGCAGATTATATAAAGAAGTCCTGCAGCTCAACAACAGAAATGCTTACAGTGCAATTGAAAAAAAGTGGGCAAAGGATTGGAATAGACATTCCTCCAGAGAGGTTAAGAAAATGTCCAGGAAACACATGAACAGACACTAAATATAATTAGTCATTAGAGAAACACACATCAAACCCACTTCACACTTTATAGGATGGCTCTAATAATAATAGGTGTTTTGTTTTTGTTTTTGTTTTGATGAAAAATAAAACTGTGGGGAGGATGTAGAGAAAATGAAACCATTGTGGTTGGTATTGGGATTGTTAGTGGGCATATGGACTGGTGCAGCCGCTGTGGGAAACAGTTTGGTGATTCCAAAGTTACCATGGAATTACCATGTGACCCAGCAATTCCAATCCTAGGTATGTATCCAAACAGATTGAAAACAGAGACTCAGACAGATAAAGGTTTATCAGCTGTTCTACCTATTTTTAAGTACATCCTGATAAATTACATTTTTCCTACAAAATGACATATCTCACAGATGTTTTCAATTTCATTGGGATAGAGGACATAATATTTTTATAAAGTACTTTATAATGTATAATTTTTTTAAAAGATTTTATTTATTTATTTGACAGACAGAGATCACAAGTAGGCAGAGAGGCAGGCAGAGAGAGAGGAGGAAGGAGGCTCCCTGCTGAGCAGAGAGCCCAATGCGGGGCTCGATCCCAGGACCCCAGGATCATGACCTAAGCCGAAGGCAGAGGCTTTAACCCACTGAGCCACCCAGGTGCCCCTAATGTGTACTTTTTTATAAAGTTTCCTCAGTATCTATAATGATAACTATTTTCTCATTCATGTGTATCTGTAGATTTGTTATTTTGTGACGTTATGATTGGCCAAGTTTTGTTTGTTTTAATCAGCCACTTTAAAGAAACTGCTCTTTGATTTACTTATCATTTCTATTCTCTTTTTCGTACTTATTGGTTTATTTTACTAGTTCCTCAGACCAGCTTCCTTTATATGTTCATGTTTATAGTCTTTAAAACATCTAAAGTAAAATGTTGGGTTCACTTACATGAAATTTTTTTTAATTTTTTTTGAAGATTTTACTTATTTATTTATTTATTAGAGAGATAGAGAAAGAGTTTGGGGGTTGGGGACAGAGGGACAAGCAGACTCCCCACCCAGCACAGAGCCGGACGTGGGGCTCTATGCCAAGAGCCTGAAATCATGACCTGAGCCAAAGTCAGGTATTTAAACAACTGAGCCACCCAGGCACCCCTGAACTTTTTCTTGTCAAATGACAAAAGTATTAAATATTTCTCTAAGGCAGTTTTGGTATCAGCATCCCAGAAATTTTCAAAGAGTAATATTTGCATCAGCATTTATAAGGAAGGCACTGAATAATGAATGTCAGGTTTATCACTACAGGTTGTTGAGGCCAGTTGGCATTCAAACTCTAACCTTAGTAACTGTCATGTGAATTTGGACAAATTTGTTAAACTCTGTTTTCTCTTTTGTAAAATGGGGGCTAGGCGTAATATTCACTTAAAAGCATCATTTAAAAATTAAGTAAGTGAATCTATATCAAACACTTTGAAGACTGGAACACATGACTCGCTGATCATGTTATTCTTATCCTACAGGTAATCTGCAATGGCTGTTTTACTTTTGTCTTTGACCAAGATCCTACCCAACCTTTGAATTTTTTATTTATTCTGTAGTTATTGATTGCTAGTGTTATTGTATTATAATGAGAGCATAGAGCTGTTTTGATTTTTCCTATGTGCAAATGTATTGAGATACACTCTGAGGAGTGATATGTTACAACTTTTATAAATGACTCCTCGAGAGAAAGCTTACATTCTCTGTAAAATACAAAGTTCAGCACACAACTGATTGTGTGACAGAATCGTATCTGTGAGCTACTTTTAATCATTTGCAGCCTATGGAATATCTCCATAGATTCCCTCTACTCCAGACTAATTCTAAGTCCATGAACAAATAGGAAGGATAGAAGTAGCACCATATTCCAGCCTTTACATATCCCATCTCTGACCTTATGTAATGGTCTCTCCAATGTCTGTGTCAGCATGCTTCTGCACAGTGTGTATTTTGCTCACAGGGAAGAGAATCTCAGGGCTTTTCTTGATCAGAGGTTAGCTTCAAGGCCACCTGAATTCCTAATGTCCTGGGAAGCTAAGGAGTAGGCTGGAGTAAAAGAATTTCAGAGAGATGGGAAATCAAGTCAGAAAAAATTACAACAATTGCTACTGGAGCATATTAGTGTCTCATAATACATTCAAAAATATTCCCTGTTTTTTACAGGCATACATAGACTGGAACCTGCCTCACATTTTTTACTCCAATTCTCTAACTTAGTCATAGTGAACACATTAAAAGCAACATCTATAGTCAAAAGTCATGACACCCATGATCCTGTGCTCTTAAGACAATTGTTAAATGTATAATAGGAGAAAGGCAGAAGGAAATACAGTAGGGCTTCTCAAATAGTTTCTTTGAAGAAATTTTGAGGATTTTGTTGGCACATTTGAAATATTTGTTGACACACTGGAAAAGATTTTACAACATACTCAATAAAAAGAATAGTAACAATAAGTAAAACTCAATATAAAAGTGACTCAACCCATTTACAAAAGTACTCACTATCATTGCTCTACCCACATAGTTCCCGTCACCTTTATATCACTGTTTTTGGAAGACCTGGTATATAGTTTAGGATTGGATTAAGCTGTAAAAGACAGAACAAACAAAATAACAGGCTTAAACAAGATAATAGTTTACTTCCCTCTCAGGTTAAGAAGCAGGGGAAGTCCTTCAAGAAAACAGTAAAATGTACAAACCCAGGGCTAATAGGTGACTCTGTGATCCACATAAACCTGGGATCCTTCCACTTGAGACTCTGTGTCATCACATGGTCCAACTCTCGCCAGCAAAGAGAAACAATGGAGGAAAGGAACACCCATTCCTTTAAAGACACTTTCCAGAAGTTTCACACGACCCTCTAGGTGCATCCCTGTAGCTAAAACTTAGTCACATGGCTATACACAACCACAGGGAACCTTTAATGAAGATGCCCAAAAGCCCGGTTAAAAATACAGGGCTCCATCCCTAATGAGAAAGAGGAAAGTAGATAATAGAGATACCAGGAGACTCTGCTACAAATGGTTACTGCCCTGATCAGGTCTTCGATAATCAAGAAGCAAAGTTCTTAGCTGTTCCAGTAACTACTCACTATTATATGACATTGCATTATACCCCTTATCTTTTACTTAATCAAGTTTAACCCTACTCTACATGAAATGTGTGAATAGCTTAGCTGAATATCCTTTGTGACATTTCTTACAGTAACAGTATAGATACCTACTAAATAAAAAATAAGTGATGAAATGTTCCAATCTTGGTGACCTACATTGAATGATTTTATGGCACAATAGGTAAGTACTCCCACCTATTACATTTGAGTCATCTTAGCAAAACCATCATTCTATCCTTCATTCAACAGATATTTTTCAAGTACCACGTGGTTAAAAGTCTCTAGGTGAGATTCTAGAGAATATAAATATTTCAATAAGATATCTTCCCTTAATCAAGTAGCTTGTCATTTCCTGGATGGACGTGCACATGGATAGAATAGCTCTTGAGGTTCCCTAAAGACAACTACAAAATGTCCCTTGATGAAGAAGGGCATTACTGCATTCTGTAATAAGGGACTAGCAAGAAACATGGATGAAAGCGGTGAGAATTAAACCTGTCCTTAGAAATGACCAATATTCAGATGGAAATGAGGTTTCTTCCTTGACATCTCCTGTTTTAATCTGCCTGTAATTTGTAGCATCTATCCACAATTCTTTTCTCATAGGGACTTAAGTAGAAAATAAGTGTAGAGTATAATTTTTCCATTCTTTGCTTCTAGGTATCGACTCATTGGCTCCCCTTCCTCGGCTTGTCTCCTGTTGGGCAGTACTGTCACTTGGGATAAGGATGCACCTGTGTGTGAGGGTGAGTTGACGTGGCCTTTTCCCCATAATTCCCTCTCTTCCATCCAAATCTGTCCCATGTTACAAAGAGGAAATCTGGTCCATCTTGCAGAGAGTAGTCTCTCAGATATTCAAAAACTGGAGTCCTGGGCTGCATAGATCTCCAGCTGTTTGTTTATTTTAGGAGGTTATTTATCTGGAACTGTGGATCTGAACTTAGGTAAAATTCCCCTCCTTTCCTACTTTGATAGTAAATGTTCTCCAGGGTAAAGATTTTCCTCATGACTAAATTTAAAAGACAGTGAAGAAAATAAAATTTGTCTCTGCCACCTCTTCATAGCACATTATAAGCCCAAGAAGTGGTTTATTCCCTTCCATATTATTTTTACTCTGAAAAATGAAACAAGATCTCATAAATCTTAGTGATTGCCCCAAGTCTCTGGTCATTTTACACTTCATCCTTTCTTTAAATTCTTCAGGTTCACGTCCTGGTTGTATTTGTTCTTGATTAGTTGGCCCTGCACCTTTTCAGTGAGATGTAATAAGGTGAACTACCAAAACTCTGAGCAGCATGGATGAATGACGGATTGCAAATTGGTAAAATATTCGAGCTGGAAGAAATCAGGATCACACACAGAACTGAGGACAGTGAAAGTGGGCACAAACTTCTGGAAGGGCTTATGAGCAATAGGTACAAAAGCCTTAATGTAAATGCCCTTTCACCTAGTAATTCTATATCTGAGAATTTATCCCAAGAAAATAATCATGGAATTTCCCCATGATTTTGGTCCACAGGCACTCAATGCAACAATATTTAGGATAACGGAAAATGTTAAGAATCTAAATGTTCAGCATGATTGGCAAACAGTTAATAGAAGAAATAAATATGATAAGTTTTGAAGAAAGGTGGAAAAGTATACCATGACCATTAGAGATTGAGCTGCCTCACCCAAGTGGAAACAGTCAGTATATTTATGTATCTACGTGCTCAAATATTAACAGGCACTCAAGATGATACTGTAGAAAATATATCCATAGCCGCAGGACCATATGCACACAAACACATCTGAAACAATATACATAAAGTTGCTAAAAATAGTTCTTTTTGGACCATCATCATTTTCTTCTCTTTGCTTGTCCATATTTTATAAATTTCCTCTAAGAAATGTGTTCATTATATTCACAAGTATTGATAAAAAGAAGATAACATTGGCTTTTAAAGATTCAAAGAAATGGACAAGGGGTTATATACAAAATGCCTTCTTTACCCACCAAAAATTTAAAATTCTCTGAAAAAATCCAAGTTAGGAAAATACTATCAATTTACTATATTAATCTTCTAGGGGGACATCTTTCATGAAAAATGTTTCCACATCTATATTTATAGGTCAATACACATTGAACCGAGTCAGTATTGGTTATCCATATATGTGCATGTGAACATGTATGTAGGTAATTATATGAGTATTTAAAAACTATTATGGGTGCCGCGCGTCCCGGGCTCAGTATGTGGCGCATTCCTCGCCAACTGTGCGTGCACTTTGCGAGGGGAAGCAGGCTCTCTGGTCCTTGGAATAGGCCTGCCGCCTTCAGGTCTACTTTGCTCATCAATCAGGCCCAGTACGCTTGGCTGAAGGAGCCTGGACTCCGCGAGGAAAATGAGGGCGTATACAATGGAAGCTGGGGAGGCCGGAGAGAGGTTATCACCACCTATTGTCCTGCTAACAATGAACCGATAGCAAGAGTCCGACAGGCTAGCGTGGCCGACTATGAAGAAACGGTGAAGAAAGCGAGAGAAGCATGGAGAGTCTGGGTAGAGGTTCCTGCTCCGAAGCAAGGAGAAATAGTAAGACAGATTGGGGATGCTTTGCGGGAGAAGATCCAAATACTAGGAAGTTTAGTGTCGCTGGAGATGGGGAAAATCTTAGTGGAAGTTGTGGGAGAAGTTCAAGAGTACGTGGATATTTGTGATTATGCTGTTGGCTTATCGCGGATGATTGGTGGACCCATCTTGCCTTCTGAAAGACCTGGCCACGCTCTCATTGAACAGTGGAATCCTGTAGGCCTGGTTGGGATCATCACTGCGTTCAACTTCCCTATGGCAGTATATGGCTGGAACAATGCCATCGCAATGATCTGTGGGAATGTCTGCCTTTGGAAAGGAGCTCCAACAACTTCACTCATTAGTGTAGCTGTCACAAAAATAATAGCCAAGGTTCTGGCGGATAACCAGCTGCCTGGTGCGATCTGTTCCTTGACCTGCGGTGGAGCGGACATCGGCATAGCAATGGCCAAAGATGAGCGGGTGAACCTGCTGTCCTTCACCGGGAGCACACAGGTGGGAAAGCAGGTGGCCCTTATGGTGCAGGAGAGGTTTGGGAGAAGTTTGTTAGAACTTGGAGGAAACAATGCCATTATTGCCTTTGAAGATGCAGACTTCAGCTTAGTTGTTCCATCAGCCTTCTTTGCTGCTGTGGGGACAGCTGGCCAGAGGTGTACCACTGCGAGGCACCTGTTTTTACATGAAAGCATCCATGATGAAGTTGTAAATAGACTTAAAAAGGCCTATGCACAGATCCGTATAGGAAACCCATGGAACTCTAATGTTCTCTGTGGGCCACTCCACACCAAACAGGCCGTGAGCATGTTTCTGGGAGCAGTGGAGGAAGCAAAGAAAGAAGGTGGCACCATGGTCTATGGTGGCAAGGTCATGGATCACCCTGGCAATTACGTAGAACCAACAATTGTGACAGGTCTGGCCCACAATGCGTCCATTGCACACACAGAGATGTTTGCTCCGATTCTTTATGTCTTTAAATTCAAGAATGAAGAGGAAGTCTTCGCCTGGAATAACGAAGTAAAACAGGGACTTTTCAGTAGCATCTTTACCAAGGATTTGGGCAGAATCTTCCGCTGGCTTGGACCAAAAGGATCAGACTGTGGGATTGTGAACGTCAACATCCCCACAAGCGGGGCTGAGATTGGAGGTGCATTCGGAGGAGAAAAGCACACTGGAGGTGGTCTGGAGTCCGGTAGCGATGCCTGGAAACAGTACATGAGAAGATCCACTTGTACCATCAACTACAGTAAGGACCTTCCTCTGGCTCAAGGAATCAAGTTTCAGTAAAGGTTTTTAAGGAGGCTGTCCATCCTCCCGTGTATCTGGTAAAGTCATAATACGGTGGCCAATTTTCTAGCATGCTGGGGTGACTGGCAGATCTAGTCTTAACATACAGAAATTGAGTAAAATTGATTGATTGCCTTTTTTTTTTAGACTAATTCATAATTTTTCTACATGTTTCTAATAATTATGAGGACCTATTTTTGTCATAATGCTTATTATTAAAAAATTTGCGCTACAAAAAAAACTATTATGTAATGATAGAACATAGTAATCATTTACCATTTACCTCTGAATCTGTGAATATTTCATTTCTCATGCCTTATCTTTTACATTTCTTTTCTCCCTTTTCTTTTTTTGAAATATATTTGACATATAGCATTGTTACTATCATGCCTTGTAATATGATGCCATTGTTGTGATAATTAACAGTTCTACCACTTTAACATAATCATCCTTTATCTTTAGTAGTTAGAATAATTAAGTTCTCGTCTCTTAGCACATTTGATGTTCCTCATACAACATTGTCTATGTGCACTGTGCTGTGTATTATCCTTCTAAGGATTTCTTTACTACTCATTGGAAGTTTGTACTATTAAATAACATCTGCCCTGTCCCCCCACACCCTAACCCCTGGCAATCACCATTTTATTCTGTTTTTACAAGTTTCTCTTTTTTTATGTTCCACATGTTAGTGATACTGAATAGTACTTGTCTTTCTCTCTCTGACTTATGTCATTTAGCATAATGTGCGCAAGGTCTCTCCATGTTGTAGCAAATGGCAGGATGTCCTCCTTTCTCATGGCTGAGTAATACTCCATTGTATGTAGGCACCACATCTCCTTTATCCATTTATCTACCATTAGACACAGTTGTTTCCAAATCTTGGCTCTTGTAAATAATGCTGCAATGAGATGGGGTACATACATGTTTTGGGGGCTTTGTTTATTCATTTGAGAGACGGGGGGAGTGTGAGCAAGAGCATGAGCAGGGGAAGGCACAGAGGGAGGGGGAGAAGTGGACTCCGCACTGAGCAGGGGGCCTGATGCTGGGCTTGATACCAGGATGCCAGGATCATGACCTGAGCCAAAGGCAGAGGCTTAACCCACTGAGCCACCCAGGCACCCCATATATTTTTGAGTTAGTGTTTCAATTTTCTTTGGGATAAATACCCAGAAGTGGAATCATATGGGTAACTGGATCATATCGAGTACTATTTTTAATTTTTTTTTAGGGCCCTCAATACTGTTTTCCATTGTAGCTGCAGCACCTGTGTGCAGGACTTCTCTTCTTCCACATCCTCAGCAGCACTTGATAACACTTGTCTTCTTGCTGATGGCCATTCCACTGGACGTGAAGTAATACCTCATTGTGGCGTAGATTTACGTTTCCCTGATGACTGGTGATGCTGGGCATCTCTTCATGTACCTGTTGGCCATTTTTATGTCTTCTTAGGAAAAAAGTGTATTTAGGTTTGCCCATTTTTTTATTGAAGTATAATTAACATACAGTGTTATATCAGTTTAAGGTGTGCAATATAATGACTCAACAATTCTATACCTTAGTGCTCAGCAAGATATGTGTATTTTTATCCTTTTTAAATCAGATTGTTTGGGTTTTGTTATTGAGTTGTATGAGTCCTTTGTACATTTTGGAGATTAACCCCTTCTCTGATATATCACTTGCAAAATGTTCTCCCATCCTACAGGTTGCCTCTTCATTTTGTTGTCTCTTTTGCTGTGTTTTCAGGTTTCTTGTAGTCAGTCCCATTTGTTGATTTTGCTTTTGTTGCTTGTGCTTTTAGTGTCATATCCAAAAAGTCATTGCCAAGACCAATGTCAAGGATGCTCCTCTCTTCACTTTCTTCTGGGAGTTTTATGGTATCAGGTCTTATATTTAAG